CTAACCCTAACCCTAACCCTAACCCTAACCCTAACCCTAACCCTAACCCTAACCCTAACCCTAACCCTAACCCTAACCCCTAACCCTAACCCTAAGTGGTTCTAGAGTATCCTCCTGTCTGCCTCTTCCTGTTGTAGGCATCACTTCAGTCTTAGCACATAACACGTCCTTCATTCCAAGGGAGCTGTCGCTTTGCCAATTTTCGGCCTCTCCCTGAAAGATCTTATGAGAATGCGTTTCCTAATGAATAATTCAGATCAAGAAAAGGCTGCTCACCTATGTAGTCAAGGTGGATGCTCAGCGTCAGCCGAGCGCAACATCCAAGTATAAATTCAACTGGAAAGAGTCCTCCGATCCTCAAGGCAAATATTCACACCCCGATCGTTCTGCCGTTACAGCCATATTTGGCAGTGAGGACATCGTGAGGGTCTACTACGAAACAATGAAGGACTCCATCGAAATGATCATCTCCTTATTCTACAAGGGCATTCGGGAACACGACCAAACTGCCAGCGTAAGTCTCGTGGTCCTGTCCCGCTCTTTCACTTGCGTCAGACTCATTTGAGTTTGGAAGACAATGACGTGAGAAAGTCAAATCTAACCTAACAAACATAGGCCATTATTTTCACTGGCGGTTCTGAATTGATCTACCGAGTCTTCGAATATGTTCTACGACAGTGGTTTGGTGACGCCTGCCCCAAAATATGGGATAAGTTTAGTCCTGGTGAACTCCAGTTTAAGTACCAGTGAGTCTTCGTCTCCATCTGCCTCCTTTGTCTTTTACATACATGGTTCTTGCCATCTCGACAAAACTCTCCAAACCCCTGCTAATCTACTTCAAACCTAGGATGGCAGTTTGTCGGGGCGCTTTGGTAGCAATGAGTTCAATCAAACAGATCTCTGCTTTACATACTGACGACGAAGAACCCAGACCCCTGAGCCAGGCTTCGAGATTACAAAGAACGCAAGAAGTTACACTGCCAGCGCATGAATCTTTTGGACGTCAAGGTACCAAAAGAAGCCGGCTTGATTAATGCTATAATATTCCATACATCAATGATTGTATCCGACGATTGGGATTGATTTACCAAGCTACAACACGTGGGCGACTGTTATGAAACGCTGTGACGCTTCCCTCGCCACGATCAAGAGCATCCTTGCACCGCCAGAGAGAAGTCGACCCATTTCAGTCTCTTACCTAGATAATATAGTCAAAAAACATGTTAAAAGAATCTTGAACTTATTGATTTCTGCATTATGATTATCAATTACTGAATTATTGATACATAATTACTTCTTGACTGATGTGATATGCTCCCAGTACGTCGTCACCAACATGATTCTGTATCTAACAAGCAAGTCACACAACAGTCACCGAACAACAACAGCACAGAAACACTTCACACATTAAACAAAAAAGGATACAAGAAAGAGAAAGAAAGCAGCTACACTCAAAGCACAGCAAGAATCACACTCACGAGAATGGCAATCATGCTGATCCCATACCTCTGTGTCGCCGAGTCACTTCTGTTGGACTTGGGAACACTAGTCGAGTTCACATTGTCCCAAGTGCTGTTGTACGAGAACCCAGGGGAATCCAAAAGCGTGTTATTGATTTCGGTGCCTGGCCCGTCTGTAGAACCCCGAACGCAGACGGACTTGTCGCCGCCGGCAAACTGGGCCGCGGCGCGCCACAGGTGCGTGATGTCGTGGTACATGTCCGCCGTGCAAAATAGGCGGCAGTCAGCGGCCTCGTAGACAAACTGGCGGGTGACTTGGGGGCTGTCGCGGTGGACAACGTTCATACCGTTAATGCTTGATTGTCCAATGTTCCAGGGCATGTTGGTGACAAGTGGAGGAAGCGCCTGAATGTCATCCATGGTGATGCCGACGGCGTTTGTGAAGGCGATCAACTCCTCCGGAGTTAAGTTGTTTACGATTTCCAGGAGAATGACCTTCATCTCGCTGTAATAGTTCCAGTCATTGACGATGCCACCTCTGGTGCCCGCTACGGCTTGCATTGGGCCGTATTCGGGAAGACCACCGACAACAACAGACTTGACACCGGCGTCATTCTTCATGAACATGGAAAATGTGTGGCACGTACTCGCGCAGACCCCGTCCGTCAAGAGGATGATGTCCTCGGCCGCGAAGGGGGGCTCGGTGAAGGGAAGGGGAATAGCAAATTCCGCATCAAAATCCAGGTTTTGGCTGTTGGGAAGATCAGGATTGGACAAGTACAAGTTGGAACCTGTAGGCTGTGTCCATTCCTCACCATCAAACCTCTCTCCCTCGTAGAAGCTATCCCAAGACGTCCATATTGTTCCATCGAGCTGAACGCTATTGGTAAGATCGAAGGGCCAGGCCTTAGCCTTTTTGGACACTTCACTGACAATCCATGGAGGGAAGCTCTGAGGATTCATGCGCACAGTGGAAATCACTTTCCCCCACGTATCCGAAGCCGGGAACTGACGAAGTCGGAAGTACTGGTCATTGGGAACTTTGTTGGGAAACAGTCTGATGAAGAGATCGTAGCCGAGAGAGAGCACACCGCCACCGTTTCCTTGCAGATCGATAACAAGTTTTTTCATACCGGCGCTTTTTGCTTGTGTAAGGAATCCATTAAAAAGTGCGCTGTATGATTGTATCGTTACATTTGTTGTCTCTTTGATGTTGAACGAAGGAAGGCTCAATATGGCAATCGACTCGTTCCTAAGAAAATACGCTGAGCCCACACTGCCGAATCCAAAGTATTCCTGGAACAGGTCAGGTGGAGGGTAAATGGGAGAGACTCGACCAGTTACACTGTCTCTCTTTTTGGAGAGTTGGTCTTCATACTCCTCTTTGGCATCTCGCTTGCTGTTGCTGCTGCTCGGGGGCGGCTTAAGAACACGGCCTTTGTAGATATCCATTCCTGAAGTCCAGCCATTTTCTGAGAAGTTTTCTCCAGATCCGCCGGTATACTTCCACTCAAAGGCAGTCCCGTTGGCGAAGTGGCCCTGGAGAGATTTTCCGTTGTAGACGTACGAGGAGGTAAACAGAGGGAAGGAGTACGACGAGGCGGGCGTCATTCCGATCTCGGCAAATTGTCTTGCATCTGATGGTATCATAGCATTAAAGTCACCGTGAGCTTCCAGCATACCATTACTCGTTTTTGTCTCAATGAAATTGCGGAGATACTCAAAGACTGGTAGTCCACCTATTTCAATGATCGGGGAAGCGTTGGGGACCTTGCCCAGAATGTCGCTGTAGGCAAAGATCTGGGGGAGCTCCTGCCCATCAGACGAGACAGAAACAATCTGGTCAGGAAGCCACCATACGAAAAGTCCGCTGGTGCCAAAAGCGAAACCAAAGTGGCCTTCATGAGTGGAAGCTTGAAGGTTGTAGATGTCCAGCTGGAACTCGTACATGTTATTGTACTCGTGGTTCCTGGCTTTGTTGCCAATCTCATCGAGTCGTGCCATAACATCGACTCCTGGTTGCTGATAAGAGGCGGGAGGATTCTTGAGATAGGGGAGAGTACTCAAGAGGCCCGTGTAGTTCTTCATGCTCTCCACCATAAAGGTAGCCTGGTCCGCGAAGATGGGCACCGAGGTAGCACATTGGAAGGTGATTTCGGCATCGACTCCACCATCATAGATGATATCATAAGGATGTTGAAGCACTTTATCTCCCAGGGAGGACCTTTGACGGGAGCTGAAAATGGCACAAGGATCTTGTTGTGCCTCTGCGACAGTGACGCAAAGAATCAGCACCTGGATGGCCCCGATAGCCACCGTCCAAGTGGACGAAGTTGATGGTGAAAACATTTGGGGTTTGGAGAACAGGCAAACAGGGCCCTTCTGTACAGAAAATGCAAGTAAGTAAGACAGAGACTATGGCGGGGGGAAAGCAAGAGGATTTAAAGAGATGCCATCGCAGAGTGGTCAACACGTATCAAGCCCTCCAACCACCTCTTGGACCGAAGGCAAACATAAATCTACCTACGCTAAAGCTTCATCCTTCTGGGAGTCCTACTTTTACACTTTTAGTCTATGAGGCTTTGCGAACCCTACCAGCCTTGCGATGGATAGGAGCTAGGAAGATAAATGCTGCATCAGGCACCATTAGCATTTCGCAAAAAAGTTACGCTTCATTTCAGCCCTATGTCAATTAGCCTATCCACTATGCGACAAGGCCACCATTATCCTATTTTTAATTTTGAGTTTCCAGCCCTTTGGAAACACAGCCACAGCGCCAACAAGCGCTTGTGTTGGTCTACCCAACAAGCTGTGGCGTTAGAATTTCATGTTGGTTCATCTAGACCTCGCGCTTCCGCGCTTAAGGATCCAGACCATTTCACCGTCACGTGTCAGTGTTATGCGGTAGTTCTAAAAGTGGTCTGAACAAACAGACCATCTATATTCCAGTTGATGGGGGTGTCAGCAAAGTTCATCTTGTGGATAAGGCAGGAAACGTTAAAAAGGTATTGGATTGGTGCCCTAATTTGGGCTACCGACTGCAAGAGAACGAGGGGATGAAAGCGGCCACAGACAATATTACATCCCTACTCATTAATCTGAAACTTAACAGTGTATATACTGAATCTATAGAGAGTGGAAGTCAGGAAGTAGATCATCCATAAATGAGTCTATATCGGTTTGAAACTGAGCCTCCAAATTATCCAGGAGTTCCTGCGCTTGGCTTGAATCGTGTGATTCTCTTGCCGTGAAACCCGCCAGTTCTTTGTGTACTACACCCGCACCGGGTGAGTACCCTACTACTACAGAACCGACTTGTGAAATAGCGACCGTACCCACTAGCTTGGATACTGCTCGCTAACAGATCGCTGATATTTTATAATCTGGATATGTGCTGTTTCGAATGAGCTACTTGCAGTACCTCCCTAATCGTCTAGCTAACAGCGATTGTCTACGCGACTGTATTAACTATTTCTGGGTACAATAGTAAAATTTTCTCGAGCGTAGTAATTATCAGAATAATGAGGTCGCCTAACTAATCGGCCAAATTCTAGCCGTATTGAAAGGCGAGTCGGATGTAGCCACGCTTGAGATACTTGCATCTGTTGTATTACTCGAGCGCGCTTTAACCCTATTTTCTAACGGAATAAATTTCCTCTGGTTTGAACCGTATCTACAGGCGCTGAGGTTAGTAGTCTTAGCAAGGTGAAAAACTAATGCAGATGATAAATTGGATGTTGCTCTGACTCAGGAGATTCGCTGGGTGTTTGTACGTATTTCTCTACTTCAGCTTGAGAAATCTATAAAATTAATTACCCTTATAGACTTCTTACTGGGCTACCCAAGGCTTTCGTGATAAATTAAATTAAATACTATTTATAAGACTAATCAACCGTATAGCGGATACCCAGGAGCAGTATTAGGTTAATAAAAAGATTGAAGAGGTTGTCTTGCCAGCGATGTACTCTATAGCTTCCTGCTTTAATATGTGGCTGATCTGGAATACTACTATCGGAGAGAATTCTACAGATACTGAATTTATTAAGGGGCTATATGAAGCAGAGTTGTATCTACGGGTATATAATTACTACTTGAATAAGATCGCCTGAAAATCAAGGACTAAAGAACTAACGGATGAGCTGGTCCTCGAATTCTAATATAACTTTTCGGATCCTGGGATATTTAAAGTATTCCGAGAACTCCTGACTATCAGGCTAATTCTTCTAAGAATTATTAATGACTTAGAATAGCCTGGAGCTAAGTATAAAGAGAATGTTCCTATATACCGCGAGGTCAGTATGTAAGTCTGGAGGATGGGTCCCTATGTACGGTTATTAGGCTTACCTGCTGCTATGTCTTTTATAGAAGTATTCCAGCTTTCTTGGAATACCGCAGTTAATGATAAAGAGAGATATTATATAAAGGATATAGTATGTTTTATGAGAAATATAGGCAATAGCTGGGATTCTGATCAGATGATTGAAGATAAGATTAAAGATGCTGGAAGCTTGATAACAGGCCAGGAGACAGAGTGAATCAGGTAAAGACGAGGTTCTCTTATTTTTCATCCTATCTATTAGAAATTTCAAATCCAGATTTAAATCGGATATTTCTTCTCTATGATAATAACCGATTAGCGTAAGGTAATGTAAAAGCGAGTGTAGCGGAAGCTCGAGAAATTGAGGATGTAGCGATGGAACGGGCTACAAAAGGCGATTAACAGGCATAAATCCAGGGGGTTACATAGCTCCACAATCGAGAGGTTGCTCTCCTTGGTATTCAATATAAGTGAACCGGCGAAAAAGCAGAGATAAATGAATAAGACTATTTTTCTGGTTATCAGGGTATAGATGAGGTATGCCAATATAGATATATCCTATAAAATTCCTTCTATACTACCTACTACTACTTAAATCCTTGATCGCCGAATATTGTATACAGTACTCCGTATAGATGTACTGTATTTATAGGAAATCGTTAGTAATCCTTATTATTATAGCTACTATTAAACGAATATGTTTTTATCGTAGTAAATCACGCCAGGTAGGATTAGTAGTTGTATCCCCTGTACGGTTATGCTGCTGGTAGTGCTAAGTCGGTTATTTCACATAGTAGAGCCCTCTCTCGTATCTATATGGCCAGGGCGAGGGTGAAAAACCACGTATCATTAAAGCCCGTATTAAAGGTAGGCAAGCGTAGAAGATCTCCACGTTAATCTCAATCGTAGACCATACAGCCACCTCAACTTTTTGCCATATCGTATTGGGGGGTAATACTAGTGGATATGTGAATAAGCGAGCTAACCTGCGAGAAAGAGGCACAAGGGCACTTAGTTTTAAGTAGTAGTTTTTTCCAGCCCAAGAAGTGCCCCGATTTGGGAGAGCAGAATACAAATTGTGAAAAAGTCCAGCCCCATGCTGAGGGCTGTGTTCACCCATGTAATAACACTGATATTAATTCATAACTAACGTGATAACCGCTGCGTACTATATGCCTTTTTATCGTAGTTGTGGGTGTTATATATGTGTATAGCTTCCTCTCTTCCTGCTTCAGTAGGAAACAGGATGGTACTCAAAATCCTAGAGCATTAATAAGACTATTCCGAATATGAAGATAAATATAACAGTATACTATAGTATGAAACGAACTTTAAGCGCAGGAAAGATCCGAAGATAAAAGAAGATGAACGCTAGCTTATATACGGCAATATTGAGAAATAGATCGTGGAATAAATATAGGGATGTTACCCAAAGCTCCTAATCTCGTGGGGAGTGAGCGGCGAGGTATCCTGACCCAGCCTACCTCTTTTGCCACCCTCGCAGGCGATAGCGGCTGCGGGTGCTTGTATTAAGGTGGCGAGAAGGGCTACTCAGTCATTAATTTCCAACTGAGTCGAGAATGCGCGCCTTCCACGAAAGCTGTTAGCAGTGCTATGTAAGCTTTACGGTGGGGTGGATAAACTTGAAATACAGCGCATAGAGGTAGAGTCAAAAGTCACAAAGTAGATTCACGGCTAAACTCCTTGCCGAACGCTAATATCACTCTTCTGCTGAACCCTCATGCCTCTTATTCTTCCTACTCGAGGGTGGCCTTTTAAGCCGGTGGAAATGAAGGAAATAGAATGAAGGAAAAGATATATAAGGGATTAGAGCTAGCTAGCCTTAGTAGTAGCCAGCAGAACTGAGCCTATATAAAATTTCAATACAATTATCACCTGTCTAAAAATACTTATGTATCCTCGAAGAGGAGTGTCTTTCTCAATAGGCTTCATGATTGCTTCCATGGCTGGGAGCCGATCAGATGGTAGTAATATTCATAGATTAGGCCCATACAGACATCGCGTATCATGCTGTCCAGCTGAGAGAACCAAGAATGGTCAATGTAGCTTTCGCGAAATCCCTTCCTAATGAAATACCACTGGCTCTCAAACTTTAACGCCGTAGGGGGAAATAATACAGAAATAATTATTAACGACCTAAAAAATAGTCCTAAAATTCGGAGTGAGTTGCATCATTCGTTCCATTTCATCTTGCCATTTTTCACCATATATAGCCCCAGACTAACCAGTTGGTCTTGTGACAACGAGTTGAAGGGCAAGCCATTTTCTTCTATAAGCCCATCAGGATCTTCGGAAAATGATTCTTCCCAAAACGCAGAATAGTCGCGCAAATCATCCTTTATAGTCTCATAGTAATTCCAATTTCTTTCGTTATAGGACTGTTCTTGGTTATCATTGCGCGTTTGAGCCTTCGTCGAACCGTAGCGTAGAAATCTAGATCTTTTTTGATGGGCTGATTAATGGGAGGATTCTTGGTTCCAAACTCTGTAAGATTGAACCCGGCCGCAGGTACGATTGGTACGACGATATCCTCAACATGCACAGGTCGGTATTGCTTTTATCAGTTAGTTGTTGTCAAATTCCCTGCAATAGCCGACTCACATACATAAGACGCCACAGGCGAAAGTCCTTGACAGAAGCAGCCCAGGCAGCAGGACTATATTGTTAGTTATATTGTTTAGTGCCAATTGGACAATATGAAAGAAATGACGGATGGTTATGACGCGATCCATGACATAATGATGGCAGTCATTGAACATTTAAGGGACATACACTCCAATTTGGAGAGCCAAGCTGACGCTCATGGCAAAGTCCTTGCTGAAATATCAAAAACTCTCGAGGAACTAAAAAATAATGGCACGATTACAGATGCCAAATTCATAGCCACCACAAATGTCACAGAGGTATGTTCGTAGATAAATTAAATTGCAAGATATTAAGCCATTTATAATCTTCATAGCCTCCATTATCGTTACCGATATATAGGTTGGATATAAGTCGTGTAGTCATCCTAGGTAGATAGAGATACCTTACCCTGGTACGGGTAATATATATCTACGAATCTCTGCTCCTAAAATTTTCAGCGTGGACGGTATATATTCTGTAACCATATATATACAAGTAAAAGGCTAAGCTTCGGTCAACAGCAGATATATCCCATATTAATCGGCAGCATAGTTTAGTATAGGCCAGGTTTGAATCCAGAGCTATACATCGATCGACTTTATCGGTCTAGGGTAGCAAGATCAGCCAGATACAGCAGACTGCTATAACTGAGAAATTACTAGTGCGTATTTAAGTAATTAAAAACTAAAGTAATAAAAGAATTAAAGAAGATATTATAAGAGTATTAATATTATTTTTCTTTTTCCCTTTTATAATTATTATTCCGTAGATACTGTAATTAGGTTCAAACGATCGTATAGGCGAAAGAGTACTCTACCAAAGTATTATTTAGTAAAGTGCTCCTTACTAAAGCGTATCTTAGTAAAATACACTTTCGCAAAGTATATTAAACAGCCTTAACTGATCTTAACTATCTAAGGATGATATAGCTAAGTATATGCAGTTGTATCAGGTATATATCTCACTATATAAAGAATTCTAATTATAAATCTAATATTTATTTAGTCCCAGATAGTACTACTAATAGAAAAGCTAGTTAACTTCGACTGAAAGCCCAAGCTTGATCAAAGTTCTTTAACCGTTGGGATAGGATGTATTTCCTCGATAACCATATATCACCCTCTTTCCAGTCATACGATAGATAGTCGATATTTCGACTTAGTTGTGGTATAATCGAGGCATCGTTATATGCCTCTTGTTCTTGCCACCTTGTTCGGCAATTGATGACCTCATATTAGGACGTACCGAGGATCGGAGTGTAGCTGATATGTCGTCTTAATCCACGGCTGAGCAAGGAAGATGCCGAGAGAGAGGTTGATAAACATCTCTTCAACACCGCAAGACTATACATATCCTACGCCTGCGCAGGGTTAGCGTTAAGAGTGCTGTCTTACTGACAAGCTTACTAGTATGACATGCGGTCTCTATATCAATATGATCCTCTCCGACTATCTTAACACAATCCTTAATATGAATCATGCCCCCAACTCTAACTGGGCCCTGGATCCTCGAAAGCCCTACTTTGAAACCTTCGATAAGGGTAGTTCCTCCCTGAGCACTGGTAACCAGGTCTCCGTTAAGTTTAATCTTATCTACTGCTGGTACCCTACTATTAGTACAAGAGATAAGAAATAGATATAGGACTTCTTTTAAAAGCTGTTCCCAGGCTAGGATATTTCTAAACTATCTCTCTTAGACTTCCTTAAAGAGCTCTCTAACTGGAGGAATAAGATTATAGCTCAGAAACCGGAGACCTATACTTTTCCAGGATTAGAGTATAATAGCTCTAGCTTCTTTAGAACTAAGGCCCTGGTAAAGCTTATTATAGAGAGTATATAGGATATTAGTAGTAAATACCCTCCTCCTTTTTACTTATTAAATATTCTACTTATATAAAATCCTATAGCTGCTTTCAGGGTATACTAAATACTTATTATACTTAAGCTTATTATAATACTTAGTATTAGTTAGGCTTATAGCTAGTATATCAGTATACTAAATAAGCTATATAAGTTTATAAATCTTAAACCTTATAAGAGTTTTAAGGATATTAATCCTGATCTAAAGACCCAGGAGGCTATAAAGGCCCTCTATAAGAAGCCTGATTTTATAGAAATATACCCTGGTCTTTTTTTAAGAGTACTAAGAAACTTTTATATCCTGGTTTAGAACTCTACAGGGGCTTTATAATAGTTAGAACTATCTTTAGTAATACTATTACCTCGATTAGGGGTAATTAATTTTATATACTTATATACTTACCCCTTCTCTCTCCCCTTTTATATCTATATTTACCTAGAAATAGCTATATTAGTAGTACTTTAGCTAACTCTTAACTCTACTTTAAATAGGACTAGATACCTACTATAATAATAAATTAGGGGTTTAATATTATTAAAGCAGATAAGCTATAGAATAAGCTTACTTATAGTAGTAAGATATACTATCTACTGGATATTATCTTCTCTAGTTTCTATAAGGATAACTCAGTCTGAAAGCTATTTCCTTTTACCTCTTCTGATAAAATAAAGTATATCTTTAAGAAGTAAAGGGTTATAGGGAAGTATAACTTCTTAAGCCTGCTATAGGAGTAGATTTACCTAATCCGGGTTATTATTAATAGTAGGGATAAATAGGCTTATACTTATAGTTTATAGGTTATAAGCTATAGCTTCCTTAATATAAGCTCTTATATATTTAATTCTATTTTTACTCTATACTACCTCTTAAGCTCTATATAGAAATATATAAGTCTGAAGAGTACTTATTATTTTTATATATTTACTAGAAATAATTAGTAGTTCTAATATAATCTATAAGTAAGCTAATTATATAAGTAAGCTGATTACTTCTACCTATCCCTCATATAATAAAGTTAATTAAAATAATAATAGCTAATTATCTATAATAATAATACTAGAAATTAATTTATTAGACTTCTCTTCAGCCTCCCTATAGGTTTAGATATTATAACCAGGCTTTCTATAATTACTATATTATAGAGTCTTTATATAAGCCTGCCCTCCCTAACTACTACTTCTACAGTTTTCCCCTCTTAGCTATTTATCTATATCCTTCTGATCTAATAGATCTATTCTATTCTATATAGTTAGGGACCCTCTAAGCTATATATAGCTTTTTTTAGCTCTTTAGTACTTACTTAGTACCTTATTTACTATATAAAGATTATAGACCTCAGTATATAAAAGAGCTATCTGGTATATTATTATAGTTACCCCTTTTATAAATTAATCTACTATAGCTAGTATAGAGGTTAGAGAGCTATTTTAATAAGCTAAGATTTAAGATTTAATATACTCAGACTATATACTTATCTTATATACAGTCTATAGTATCTTTAGAACCCAGAGCTATCTTATCTCAGATAGGGTCTCTAGTAGTATTAGTATTTATAGTACTATATCTAGCTTTAAAAGAACCCTCTCTAGGTTATATAGTATTAGGCTAGATCTAATAAAGTCTGCCTGGATATTCTTCTCTATAAAGAAGTAGAAAAAGACTATATAAAAAACAGAGAGAAATTTAAGCTTACTAATATAGATAATATATATCTGTATTAGACTCTTAATCTCTTATCTATATAACTACTTAAGTAGTTTAAAGTAGCTAATATCTAGTAGCTAAAGAAAGTAGGAGGAGTAAGAAGGTATATAGACTATAATAATCTTCTGCTCTTAATAGTAGGTCTTAAAGTTAGCTAAGTAGTAGCTCTTATAGCTATTAAGAATTAGTATCTAATATACCCCCTTTATATAAGGAGCTATATAGAAGTTAAAATACTTAATCTAATCCAGACTAACCTTATTAGTAGTCTAGCTATTCTTAGTTATTATAAGCTGCTAGTTATACAGTAGGTTATATTCCTAATACTAGTTCTTAAGGTAATATTAGGTAGCTAGAATAATAAAAGAAGGGATAGCCTAGCTAGCTGTATTTACCCCTTGGATTATAGTTACCTACTTCCAGTTATTAGGCTGAACTAGCTTAGCCTTTATATAACCCTCTGAGGTTATAACTACTATCCTAGGGAAGATAATATCTATTATAAAGCTAGTCTTATTAAAGTTATATAGATCCTTATTTAGAATACTATATTTTACTTTTAGATTATATATAAGACTAAACTAAGATATAATAACCTTTAGATCTTTATATTTAGCTCTCTAATAGTTATATTTCTAAACCCAGTATATATAGAGCTCTAGTTACTACTTAATAAAGTTAGAAGCCTAATTAATACTAATAGGGGGTATATTATATATATATAGTAAGATATTAGCTATTTTCTTAATACTATATATTCTAGGAGGAAATATATATATAGATAGCTTAAGTATATATAAGATAATAGTTTCCTCTTTAGATTTTAATAGATTTATTAATTTTAATTAAGTATTATATTTTACTATATAATCAGTATATTAGTTATAAAGGGTTATATATAGAACTTAATAGACTTTTACTACTGCTCTAATACTTAATTTCAGGTTTTAATTAAGAGCTTGGATTATAAGGATAATATTTACTTTATATAAAGTTATATTTATTTTATAGTAGAAAGTTATTTAATTATAAAGAGAAAGTTCTAATTTCTAGATAGAAGTAATTAGCTTACTTATATAATCAGCTTACTTATAGATTATATTATATCTATTTATTAAAATAAATATCTCTTATCTTTATCTATCTTTATCCTGCCTATTTATAGTAAAATTAAATAGGAGTATAGACTTAATAACTATAAAGCTATTAATAATCAGAGCCTGGTCTATTATAAAAGAACTAAGATTAGATAATAGTATTTCAGTTAGCAGATAAGTATTAGAATAAATTAAGAGAACTATAATTATCTATAAATAAGAATTATAAATATTATAAATTATAAGTTAGAGGAACTTATACTATACTTAAGAAATATACCTTAATATAAGTATATATATATTATATATACCTTTAGAAGCCTAAGATATACTCTATCTTTTTCTACTAATTATATACTAGATTACTACCCTTATAAGTAATCCTAATAATCCTAGGAACTAGATTATCTAGATTACTAACTAAGACAGAGTTATTTCCCTCTTCTGTTAGTACCTCTATATACTAATAAATTCCCCTTAATAAGTACTTATATACTCTTAACCGCTTTTCCTCTACCCTGGTAAGTCTGGACTCTATAAGTTATAAGACTATTTTAAAGTAGCTTATTTAGATATCTATATATAGCTCCCTCTAAAGTCTTATACTCCTTTCCTCTCTTAAAGTCTTTAGGTTTCTAATCTGCTCTATTCTTTAGTACTCTCTAAGGTAATCCCCTTAGACTTTATTCTATTACTATCTCTACTGACTTTAACTTTAAATAACTTATAAGCCTCTACTTATAAAGCTCTTTACTTTTAGTTTATATTCAGCAGAATAAAAATCTTCAGACTAAACTTTATATACTAATCCTAAACCCCTTATTATTTTAAAGTTATATAAAGAAGAACTAGTATAGTAATTAACCTATAACCCTTTAGACTATATATATATTATAATAACCTGCTATCCTGCTTTATACCTACCTTATATAAAGTATTTAATATAATAAATATATACCTTATACCTAAGCTAATACCTGAGTATACTTCGATCAAATAAGTTTCCAGTACAGGCTAAATATACTATAAAATATTAGTAATATATATAAATATAGTAAGTACTAATAAACTTACTGGGTAGAATATAAAGCTAGTATTAAAATCTAACTTATATTCTGTAAAATAAGGGAACTCTCTCTATTCGAGTTCTAATAGATAGTTCCCTGCAGAAGTATCTTCTCAGCTAAAGAAACTATCTTCTCAGCTAAAGAAACTATCTTCCGAAAGAGATCTTATTATCTACAAGATATCTGTTTATAATATAACTTTAAAGATACTATAAATATATTATACCCTTATAAATAAGGGATTATATTAGATTAATATAAAATAGTAGATCTATATTTTTCTATTTCTAACTATATTATACTCTACTAAAATAATAATTTTAATTTAGTACTATCTGTAGATTTATAGATCTTCTTAAAACTATAGTTATTAAAATAGTCTTCCTATTAATAGTTTTTCTAAATCTAAGCTATTTAACTTATAATCCCTATCTACTACTATAATAGCAGCTATTTCTAATAGTAATAAGAATATTATAATTATATAGTTATTATAACTATTTATAATTACTAGAGCTATTCCTCTTTTTAATTTTATTAAATACCTAGGCTATAGTATATTACTTATATAAGAGTAAGTATTTTATTTAACTTCAGGGGGAAAATATCTAGTAGTTATATAGAATATTACTTCTTATTCTATCTTAGGGACTTATAGTTTACTATAAAATTCTATTCAGTATCTTCCTCCTTATAGATTATAAAGTTCTATACTCCTATCCAGTTTACTAGAAACTGCTCTGGTCTTATAGTATAGAGTACTTAATATTTTTACTCTCTTTCTTATATTCTCCTTACTTCTCTCAGGCTCCCTAAAGTATTTATTATACAGCTTTCTATATTACTTCCTACTCTTCTTTTAGCAGCTTATATAAAGACTACTCCCCTGGATAAAAGTATTACTATAACCCCGGCTAATAGGCAATCTAATACTGGGTAATCTAATACTAGGCAATCTAATACTGGGCAAACTAATATTACTATAAGTAAGTTATCTACTGCTACTGCTGAGATAGCTATCTCTAACTATAGCAGTTAGTATAACTAGTATAGTAATAGAGAGTAGATATATACTAAGCTTTAATTCTGCTTTATCTAATATTCCGCTTTAACTATTACTATTATAAAGTAATAAGAGGGTTAATACTACTAGGGCAGTACCTAGTATTATATAAGAAATTATCCTTTTTCCTAGAGTATTATAGGAACTCTATCTACTAGTAAGGATTTTAATAGATCTAGTTATATAGTCTCTATTAATTATTACTAAGTTAGTTCTTACTAGGAGGATAATACTACTATTAATAAGAATCCGCTGTTCAGTATTATACTTAGATCTTAAGAGATAGACTACCTTATTAACTAATATAATCTAGAATTCCTTTCTTATATTCTTAAAGAGCTAATTAAAAATAAGAAGCTATTAAGTATAGGAATAGAGCTCTAAAATTATCTTATATAGTTTTTTTTTTTTTTTTTTTTTTTTTTTAATTCTTACCTAGATTTTTCTTATACTATATATAAATATAGAGACTACTAAACTTTATTTCTAATAATTTATTAAAATATCTATTTATAACCTACTTATATTCTAAAGAACTATATTAAATATAATAAGAAGAGGAGTTAATTATCTAAGTAGATAAATATAAAGATCTTATTAATTACTTATTACTTTAAATAGCTTATTAAGGCTTCTAATTTTGGGATTTTATTCCTATTATATATTTACCTTCTGGCTCCTGTGCCTCTGTAGACTTAAAGAGCCCCGTGATATAGTGGAGGTACAGGATGAGGTTTAGGGATAATAAATATAATCAATCTGAGTCTGTACCTATTATATCGGAAAGATAGAGTTCTTCAGGGGTTAATAGAAAGTATATATCTTAGATAATAGGTTCTCTTTTACTATTCTCAAAATCTTATAGTAGTCACCAAATAACAGCTCTTCGGGTGCGCTTACCAATTTTAGTAGCCTACGACCGGCCTATTGGTAATAAGCCGCGAGTGACCGATAATTATTAGTGATAGCCTGATATACTGATCTCCCGTATAAGGTATAAGGCTAAGACTGATCAGGACTAGTTTTTAGCCTGTTTAAAACTAAGTAGGTACTATATAAGTAGTAGTACTAAATATATAAGACTAGTAGGTAGTATTTATAGTTAAATAGATTAGATAGTATATATACTCTCCTCTTATTAATTAAAAAAAATATAGTATATACTAACTACTATAATTAATAGCTATATTAATTAAATAGTAATTATATATATTAATAGCTATATTAATTAAATAGTAATTATATATATTAATAGTTATATTATTATTATTTACTCTAGGTACTAGATCTAGCTAGTCTCTAGTCTCTCTATCTAATCTCTAATAAGAGAAAACCTTATATATAGAATAAAAACCTTATTCTACTTATTTCCTTTATAGCTTTATCTAGATACTAATATAGCTCCTAGTTTTCTATCTTTCTTTATTTATCTACTATATTTCTATCTTAGCTCTTATCTATTAGTTAATATAGATAGAGTACTTTTTAATTTATATCTATATAGAATATAATTTAGCTTTATTTTAGAATTAATTTCTTATAGTTAGTTTTAAATAATTAATTTAAGAGATATTTTTCCTATTATTTAATTAATTAACTTTAATTTTTATTTTCTAATTTTAATTTTCTTTTTAAAAGTTATTTAAATAGAATTTCTTTATTATTTTTATTTTTTAGTTTATTTAATCTATTCTCTATATATAGTTAATATAGCTCTAGCTTAATTTCTTAGTTTTATATTTTTCTCTATTTAACTTTTTTAATTATAGATTAAGAAGATATAGTTATTATATTAATTTAGATTAGTTATAATATAGATTTTTTATATATTTACTATTACTTATATAACTTTTTAGTATTTAGTATATTTTTCTTATAAATTCTTAGATTATTTAGATTATTTATATTCTCTTCTATATTTATAAATATCTTTTTTTTTTCTAATTTCTTTTTCTTTTTTTTTCTCTTTCTTTTTTATATAACTAGATAATTAGATAAGTTCCTCTCTTTCTCTATATTAATTTTAATATAAATAAGATTTAGAATAGATCTTATTCTATATTTTTTCTATATTTTTTCTATCTTATTTTACTTTCTACTCTCCACTATTATATAGATCTACTTTATTCCCTCCTTTTCTATTTTATCTCTAGCTTAATTTCTAATTTTTTCTAATTCTTATTATTCTAGAACTAGTTATTAGTAATATATTAATAGTATAGCTACTAATAGATATACTATCTATTATACTCTTTAATCTAGTAAGTTTTCTATTTATTTTTAAATTAGTTTTATACTAATTCTATAATAGATTTTTAATCTAAGTTCTACTATAAATATTATAGTTTTAAAATCTTCTATTTAAAGATAAATTTATATCTAGTTCTAATCTCTTTTAATTCTAATCTATATAGTATTTTATTAATTATTTCTCTACTAAGTATATAACTTATTTATAGATCTATATTATTAATATTACTTCTAGTACTAAGGAATTTAATATATATTTTATATTCCTATTTAGTATTTTTCTATATTAGTTTTTATTCTAATCTAGATTATAATAAGCTTAATAGAATATACTTATTTTAAAGATTATAGCTTATTAATCTAATAAATCTATTTATATTTTTATCTCTAATAGTATTTAGAATTATACTAATACTATTACTCTTAGTAGCTATATTAATCTTACTCTAGTTTTATTCTAAACTCTATATAATAATAAAATTATTATTATTACTTTAGAGACTAAAAGTAAGAAGAATTACTAATAGATAATTACTTTTAATACTTAGTTAGATATACTTAATTAAAATATTCTTAATTAGAACTAGTTTTTATATAAACTTCTAGCTCTTATAATTATAACTATATTAGAATTAGTTTAATCTATTCTTAATATTCTTATAAAGATATCTTCTTCTAATAGGATATTTAATAAAAGTAAGATTAAAAATAATAGTTCTAATAAGTTTAAAAAATATATTTCTAATAGAGCTATTACTAATTATAATATTAATATATCTAAGGAATCTTAGATTAGTTTTTACTCTAGATTTATTTTAAATTCTAATTAGTTCTATAGTTTAAAATCTTTAGTTTATATACTTAATACTAATATTCTATTCTTTTTTACTATTTTTATTCTCTTTTATACTTATTTAACTATATATAATAGTTCTATTATTATTTATATTAACTAGATCTAGATATTATTTAATATATTTTCTATTTATATATAGATTAAATTCTATTTAGAGTTTTTATATATTCCTTCTAATATATCTAACTTCTTAGTAAGTTTATATTATTTTAATATTTTAAAATTTAAAACTTATTTTATAATTTTTTATATATTTTATTTTTAATTTATTATAATATTAAGATTATATTAAATTTATATTAATTTTTTAATATTTAGTTTAACTTATTAGATTTTAAATCTAGAGTATTATAAAATAATATAATATATATTCTTTTTTCTTTCTCTATATTAGTATATAGATATATTTATCTTAGAAACTTCTCTTATAAAGAGAAAAAAAACTAAGTTTATTCTTTTTATTTTTACTTATATTAGAAAGAAGTTTTTATATTTTTATAGAAAATTATATCTTTTAAATATTTTTCTATTAAATCTAATTATTATATTTACTATTTATATTTATCTAGATTTTCTTTATATTATATTTACTTTAATTTTCTATCTAGTTCTTTACTTAGTTTCTAAATTAAAATCTTTTTCTTATCTCTAGTACTAGCTTACTCTTAGTAACTTTACTTTTTAAAATCTTTATCTCTACTAATTTATTATTAACTTAATTATTATACTAACTATAGTTTAGTTTATATTTATAATTCTTTTAATTTTAAATCTTTTTTCTATTTTTATTACTCTTTTATTTATATAAAGATCTAGAAATAATATTAATATTTTTATTTTAATTATTTTTAATAATATAGCTCTATATACTCTAATTATAATCTAGAGATATTTTAACTATTATCTAGCTAAGCTCTATATAAATCTCTATAGTTTATTTTCTTTCTCTATAGATTTATAGAAAATAAATACTTTATATATTATTATAGATCTTATAATAACTTTATAAACTATTTTTATTTATCTATATAAATATCTATATATAGATAATATAATTCTAATTAGAGCTAATATCTATTTTTTAAATTTCTTCTAGAGCTTTATTATATATATTTTCTATTAGAGTTTTCTATCTAGCTATATACTAAGGAATTTAATTACTTTATATAGTTTAATCTATATATCTTTAGTTTATATTTAGTTTTTTATCTTTTTTCTTTTCTTTATAAAGTATATAAACTTATTTTTTATTAAATTAAAGATTAATTTAATAGTTTTTAATTATTTTTTATATTTTTTTTATATTTTAAGAAGTTCTTTTTTTATTATCTCTATATTAAATCTAAAGCTTAATATATTTATATTATTAATAAACTCTACTATTAGTATATTAGAGACTTTTTTAAAAGTTTTATATAAAATACTTATATATAGTATAAAGAGAATTAATAATAATAAAAATCTCTATAATATATCTATTTAGACTAATATTACTATTATTATCTTACTATTAAATTAGAATTATATTATTCTCCCTTTTAGAAATATCTTAATCTATCTATAGATATTCTTAGAATATCTTTTTACTCTAGTTACTTTAAATAATCTTTTATATAATACTATATTAAATATACTATTTATATCTAGAAGTAATAGTATAACTAATTCTTTAAATCTTTATACTATTTAGATAGTTTTTATATATATTTTCAGAATTACTTTTATTAATCTATTATATCTATTTTCTATCTAGCTATTAGAAAGAAGTTTATATACTTCTATTATAATTATAATATAATCTTCTAGTACTTTTTTTATTATTTTATTTATTATACTTAGTAATAATATTAACTATTATTCTTTTAAAGTCTTTCTTTTTATTAATATTTTTCTAGATTTCTTTAGTATTATTATAAGAATAGTCTAAAACTATATTAGAAAATAGTCTAGTTTAAAGCTCTTAGTAACTAGATATATAAGTATTTAGTAAAATAGTTTTCTATATATTTTTAGAAAACCTATTAATATTTTATTCTCTTCTAATACTTTCTATAGTAATATATATTTAAATATATTCTTAATCTCTTTAAAGATAATTATTATCTATATTAATATTAAATCTTTTTCTTTCTATTTTAATCTAGAGAGTAATTCTTATTTATATAATTCTTTTAGAAAAAAGATCTCTATTAATTTTTATACTTTTTCTCTATAGATTTATATTAGTTTCTTTCTTTCTTCTATTATATTTAGTATTTTTAAAATCTTATATAGTTTCTAGCTTTTTAATCTAATCTATCTCTTTAAAGTCTAGAGTTTCTTATTATTCTAACTTATTTCTTTTAGTATAGTTTACTATTACTTTTAATCTAATTTTAATATAGTTCTTTTTTCTAATTTCTCTATCTCTTTTAGATTTTCCTATTATTACTAGCTAGAGTTTATTATATATTTTCTTTAGATTATTTTAATTATTTTAGATATCTTAATAACTTTAGAAGTTTATTATTCTTTTCTATCTCTAGATTTAATCTAGAGCTCTATAGAGATTATTCTATTTATAATCTAATTTAGATAATTAATAATAAAGTCTATTAATACTTCTAGTTATATAATATCTTTAACTTCTAATAATAGGTTTCTAAATCTATTATAAGCTTTAATCTCTATAAGAGGGATATTAATCTTTCTTTATTTTCTAATATTCTCTATTATTCTAATCTTTTTTACTTTAAATCTAATTCTAAATTAAACTCTTTATACTATATAGTTAGATCCTATTAATATATTATCTAAGCCTATATATCTTACTATTAAGCTATATATAATCTATATTAAGTTAATTATATTATTTCTCTTTCTATAATAGAATTATATATATTCTTCTTTTAATATTAGAAAATCTAATTAAATCTATTTTATTACTATTATAAATTTATTTATTTCTATAATCTTTTAGTTATATTTATTCTATAGTAGATTATAAATATTTATATTTCTAAGAAATATATTATATTTATCTAGATCTAGTTTATTAAAAATCTAAATTAAAAACTAAATAAAGATTAGATTTAGTAGATTATATATATTCTAAATCTTAATTTTATATTTTAATATTCTAACTATATATTAGTTTTTATTTACTTTTATTTTCTATATCTTAGATCTATATATATTTTATATATATATTATATATCTTCTTTCTCTATATATTATTATATATTCTGATTTTACTAGATATATTAAAGTATTTTTATTTAAAAGTATTATTATCTTTTATACTACTATTATATTATATTTAACTTAAATCTAGAGTATTTTCTTTATATTACTTAGTATTTTTTATATATTCTATATAACTATATCTAATATTATTAGAATAAGCTTAATTAGAATCTAGTTATTATTTATCTTAAAGAACTATCTAGATTTAATATATTTTTATTTTATATTTAATTAAAAGTACTAGTAATATTTATCTCTTATATTATATTAATAATAGTTTTTATCTTTTAGAGTATTCTAATTATAACTTTTAATCTTTAGTTAGTTATTTCTACTAAATAGTTTAATTCTCTTTTTAGTTTAATTATTAAATTAAATAGAGTTTATTATTATTATTATATAGTTTTAATTTAGTATCTAGAGCTTAGTTTTAAGTTATTTTTTTTTAATATTATAAATCCTATTAGATAATTACTATATACTTCTCTTATTTTCTCTTTCTTTTTATTTAGTATAAAATAAGCTTATATCTAGACTAGATATAGTTCTTTATATAATATATATATTAATATATTTTCTTTAGCTTTTACTAAATAGAGCTTTTTAATTAGATATACTCTAGCTATATATTAATTATATCTTACTTACTTATTATAATAGTATATTATATAGCTAATCTTATAGTAATTATAGTATTAATATAATTATATAACTTTATAAAAAGATTTATATTAGCTAATTTTAATATTTATAATTATTCTCTATTTATATAGTATATTTACTTCTTCTAATAAAATTATACTTAGAATTAGATTCTATTTTAATATAGTTTTATTTTATTTCTATATTAGCTTTACTTTTATAATTTTAATTTAGTTTATTTAATTTATTTTCTTTTAAAATACTTTAGTATTTTAAATAATTATTATAATTCTAATTTCTTTTATTATTACTATATATTATCTCTAGCTTAGTTTTATCTCTAGACTAAATATTACTTTTATTTATTCTTTATTCTTTATATTCTATTTAATCTCTTTATAGAATATAATAATTATATTACTACTTTTTAGTTTTCTAGCTATAATTATTTTAGAATTAATTCTTCTATATATATTAATTACTTTAATTATATTCTTTAGATCTCTATTTCTTATATTTATTTAGTAGTTTTTAATTTAAATAATTATTTTATAAATATATTAAATTAGAATAAGCTTTAGTTTATTATTAGTATATATATATATTAGATTTATACTAGATATAATCTAAATTTAAATTAATTCTAAACTTTCTTTCTTATTATTAAATATCTTTTTAATTATTTTTTAAATAGTTTTAATAATTATTATCTAAATATTTTTTATAGCTTTTTAAATTATTATTTCTATATTTAGTTCTATATTTAGTTCTATATATTAGTTTTATTTTAAATAGAGATTTTATAATTTATTATATCTACTAAATTATTCTATTAAATACTAGTTTAGTAATTTATCTATAAGCTTTTCTTATAAAGTTCTTTTTAATATATTTCTCTTCTAGATTTATTTTAAATTTAGTATATCTCTAATTTAGTAAAATATTAAAAAGATTTCTCTAAGGGTAATAGATATTTAATTCCAGATTATAGTATCTATTATTAATTTCTATCAGATAGTATTCTATATTATTAGATTATCTTTAGTATAATATTAGTTTTAGATTAATTTAACTCTATAGAATTAATTACTAGATTTATTTTTAATTTTAATTAGCTCTTTATAACTATATCTAGTTTATAAGTAAAATTATTTTTTTTTATAAATTAATAGTTATATTAATTAAATAGTAATTATATATATTAATAGCTATATTAATTAAATTAAATAGTTATTATATATCTTAGAGAGAGACTATATAAATACTAGAACTAATTTATTAATAGATTAGTATATAAGTAGTACTAAGTATAATATATAAAAGAAAAAGCAGATTTATATTAAATAATAATAAGAAATAACTATATCTTTTAGTAGAAATTAGATTAATTATATAGAGATTAATATTTACTATAGAAGTAATATAGATTAATTAAATAGTAATAATATATTCTAATAAAAGATAAGTAGATTAATTAAATAGTAATTATATATTTTAAGAATTAGAGTAATTAATTATATATTATAATAGCTAATAATTAGATTATTATACTAAGATATTAGGATTAGGTTTATCTATTATTATATAATCAGTTCCTACTATTAATTATATATATAATTACTCTACTATTATATATATAATTAAGTTCTACTCTTACTAAATATTTAAGTTCTTCTATAAAATCAGTTTATATTAAGTATAGTTCTTATTCTCTTTCTCCCTAGTTTTATTATTATTATTATTATTATTATTATTATTATTATTATTACTATTACTATCTTTACTATCTCTATAATAATAATAATAATATTTATTATAGAGATTAAACTATTAGTAGACTATTATCTTAGTATTAGTATTACCTTTTATTATACTATCTAACTTCTTTATAAAATCTCTAGAAAATATATAAACTCTAAGGAGTTCTAGAATAGATATTTTATATAAGATACTTAGATTACTATTTATAACTATTTAAACCTCTAGAACCCTTATATCTCTAGAAAGATCTTATATAATACTATTACTATAAGAAAAGAGTATTAGGATAGATTAAATAATATATATATATAATATTTTATAGATATTTAAAAAGTTAGAAAGCTTATCTATAATAGTAAATACTATAGTATAGAACTTATTCTCTTTCCTAATATTATTAGATAAATAGATCTTATTATAGTATATAAAGAAACTTCTAGAGATAAAGATATAAATTCTAAAGCTAAAGATATCTATTATTACTATTAGTAATTACTAGATATAGATCTTCTTAGTTAAAATACTTTTAGAAAAACTAAGCTTCTTATTAAAATACTTAGCTATTTTTATTAAAAGTATTAACCCTATATTAATATTTATTCTATTCTTAGCTAGAAAATCTTTAATATCTCTATTTAATACTATTATAGTTAAACTTAATTAATAATCTTATTTATAGATAAATAATATCTTTATATTAACTAGTTAAATATTATTAATTATTAATATATTAGAACTATTATACTAAGTAGCTTAAGCCTAATATAGAGTAAAACTAGATAGTATTACTAGACTATTTTTATAAATCTCTTTTACTACTTTCTCTATATTCTAATTAAGATTAGTAAGATAGTACTATAAATAATAATTATAAAGGTATATTATTATATTAATAAGCTATTTCTAGTTTTAACTACTAAATATATTTTATAGGATAATAATACTAATAATATAAATCTCTTATAGGGATAACCTATTAGTAAAGTTTTTTATTTATAGCTTTTAGATAATAGCTAGGGTATTAAAAGCTCTATCTACTTTCTTATAATAGCTCTTAAGTTTATTAATTCTTAGCTTAGTTTAAAAAGTCTTTACTAGAATTACTAGCTTACTATTATTACTAAGTCTCTACTCTAATATTTATATATTATTATCTAGTTCTATTATAATAGATTTATAATTAATCTAGAGGATCTATATAAAAATTAGACTAATAGATAATTATAAAGAAATATTATTCTTATTTTTCTTATCTTTATTAGTATCTTAATAGTTTAATATATCTAGTAATACTAGGATTAATATCTAGAAGAGCTAGATATTTCTTAAGAGTATAACTATTAAGGAAGAAAAAAGTAGCTTTATATAATTTATATAGCTATCTATATCTAAATTACTCTCTTTATTATTAGTCTGAATATAATCTCTAGTAAGCTTATAGACTATATACTTTAGTATATCTTTCTTAATAAGGAATATATATTATTAGTTAATAAACTTCTTAAGCTTTTTTTTATATTTAGATAGAGTTTTAAATAGATCTATATAATCTTATTTATTAAGTATATAGAGTATAATAATATCTTATATTAGTAAGCTAGTAGTATTAGTACTAGAAGTAATAGAGAAAATAGAATTAGAAAGAAAACTAAATAGTAAGCTACTATATATTTTAATACTAGGAATCTAACTAGAGCTACTAACTATAATACTTAAGATCTTCTAGAAGAGAAACTAACTTAATTTAGCCCCTAATATATTAAGGCTTTTAGTAGCTAATAGATCTAAAATAGAGAGGCTTTATAAATCCTTATTATATATAACTACTATAGTATTATTATTATTTAGATTATAATACCTAGGTAATCTAAAGCTTCTAGATTAAGATTTAGGTATACTAGATAGACTAAAAGAGTTACTTATATAGCTAGATAAATAGATATATTTAATAGGTTTTACTATTATAGCTATAGCTAAGATTATTATTCTTTTTCTACTTACTAATAATATTACTAGTAATTAATCTCTTAATAAATAATAAATAATAAATAATAAATAATAAATAATAAATAATAAATAATAAATAATAAATAATAAATAATAAATAATAAATAATAATAATAATAATAATTTCTCTTTCTATAGTATTTCTTCTTTCTCCTTCTAATATAGATAAAGAAGGAAAGGAGCTACTTATAATAAGTTAATAAATATTATAATAGTTTTCTAAGCCTACTAGGTATATTATACTATAAACTCTACTTAAATAATCTAATCTAATCTTTTCTATTTAGAATATTTTAATTAGAACTAGTAAGTAGATTCTTTATATATATAGAACCCCTTATTATATATATAATAATATAGTATATTAATCTAATAGATTAAGAAGAAAATAAATAATCTATATATAATTAAATAGGAGATCTAGTATATTTTTAAATACTATTTATTAGATTAATATATATATAGAAATTTAAAAGAATCTCTAAGATCTTTACTATTTATAGTACTTTAACTATTAATTACCCTAAACCTAATATCTAGTATTTTTAATAAACCTAAGTAATATCCTTAAAATACTATCTCTATATATTAAATATTTATATTATTATTATTATTATAGTACTAAAGTATTAAAAAGCTAAGATTAAACTAAAAATATAGTTTTAATTAAGATATTATAGAGAATTTATTTTATTATTATTAATATTCTTACTAAATATCTATATAATCAGACTATAGAATATAATTTTATAATATCTATAATTAAGTTTATTTTTATCTATTATATCTATAAGAGAACTACTATTAATAATAGTAAGCTCTAATATACTATAATCTAACTTTTTCTCTATTACTAATAATAGTACTTTTTCTAATAGATTAGATAATAATAATAATAATAATTAAGTTATAATAAACTCTGCTTTTCTTAAGTTATTATTATTATCTCCTAGGTTAGATATATTAATACTAATAGATAACTTACTAGGGAATATTAGGATATAATAATATAGAGGTTTAAATAAGCTAGCCCTATCTAGATCTCTAATTAGAGAGTAATATAATAGAAAAAAATATATATTAGATATACTATTTCTAGAGATAGTTTTAATATACTAATATTTATATAGAACTAATTTAATAGACTTAATAGATAATAATATAATAAATATAGTTACCTCAGATAGTAATATATTACTAAATAACTACTTACTAGTATTTAATACTAATATATAGATTAATATAGTAAAAGAGAATAGTAGGTTATAGTATATATACTTAATATATCTATATAGTTATAAGTCTTACTCAGATTAAATACTTAACTTTATATAATATATATAGCTTATTAATAATTAGCTCTAAATAGTATTATTAATCTAAATAGTAGACTAGATAAAAATATTAGTACTATAAATAAGTATTTTCTAAATAAGATATATAATAAAGAATAAGATAAAGAATAAAATAAGCTAGTTACTATAGAACTATCTACCTACTAGATAATTTATAACTAGATTAAGAAGAAAAACTTAAATAAAAAGAAGAAACTAGTTTAATAGATTATCTATATTCTTACTATAGGCCTTATATTATATCTAGTATATTAATATAAAGAGCAGGATATATTATATCTTATAAACTACTACTAGTATCTATATCTATATAAGATATAGACTAGATCTAGTATAAAAGTTAGTAGATTATTCTTTACTAAGTAAAGAAAATAGTTATAATAGCTCAGCTTAGACTAAACTATATAGCCTCTAGATACTTTAGTTATAAGTCTTTATTATAACTAGCTATTACTAACTAGCTAACTTAAAGCTTAATTTATAAGCTAATATAAGGAAAAAAATAAAAATTAGTTTAATACTAAGATCTATCTCTATTAAGATAATATAGTAGAATAGAAGCTAGTACTAATAGTTTATAATATTAATAGCTTTCTATATATTATAAAAGATCTATATAGCTTAAAAGAGCTACTAAATATATATATTATAGCTTAATTAAACCTTCTCCTATCTAAATCTATTTATATTTATATACTAATATAGATAGAAGAGAAAATTAAATAGATACTAATTTACTAGATTCTATATATTATTTTTATATATTAGAAACTATAAATAATCTATATATTCTTCTTATAGCTCTATAATAAAAAGTACTAAAAGTATAGTTCTATATCCTTATAAGAGAAGTAAAACTAGCTATTTTTTAATAGCTTTATTAAGCTAAATATTAAGAAGATTAGACTATAGTTTATATATTATCTATCTAGAAGTTATAACTCTATATAAATAGTATTATATATTACTAAGGAGTTATTAAGCTTAGTAGCTATATATAGTATAGCTATTAAGATACTATATAGTAAGAAGAACTTCTCTAGATTATAGAGTACTATATAGAAAGTACTTACTTAGATAGAGTATAATATAATAAGAGATAAGCTTAAGATCCCTAGTAGGAGTATAGAGAATATAGAGAATACTAGTAGATTATAATAATTTAATAATACTATCTTTCTCTATAATTATAAGGATATTAAGCTATAGTACTAGTTCTCTAGTAATAGTATTATAGAAATACTAGAAGATTTCTATTCTAGATATAGTACTATTAGCTTTAAACTAGAGCTAGAATTAGAACTAGAGCTAGAGATTAATAGTTATTATAATAGTCTAGCTTAATATATTAGTAAGAAAGAATAAATATTATAATAATAAACTTAATTTATAGATATAGTATCTAAGTTCCTACTAAAGTAAAATAGATATATTACTCTAGCTTAATAGTATTACTAGTATAATATCTTATATTTTTTTTATAAATAGTTTATAGATACTCTACTTAGAAAAATAGATCTATAAATAGAGAATAAAACTAATATTAACTTAAAGATATATAGTAGTTAGGAAAATAAGGGAGTAAAGGGTTTTAATAAATATAATAGAGATAATAGATAAGCTTTTTATAGAAGTAGGAGTAAGAAGAAATAAACTATAGAAGAGGATTAGAAGTCTCTCTGGATTTTATATACTATTATAACTAAGTATCTAGTTTATATACTATAAAACTCTATTTTAATTATCTTAGAGCCTAGAAAGACTAGCTTTATCTTTAGATATAGTATCTTATATATATAATTCTATACTATTAAGAAGAAGAACTTTAATATAGCTACTATCTAAACCTTCTTATATCCTAATATTCTTAATCTTACTTATAATAATAAAGTCTAGATAGTAATAGTCTAAAAGAATAAGATTAAAGCTAGCTATTAGAAGGTAGAATAAATACTATTATAATTAATCTAATATATAGCTAGTAATCTTAAGAACCTATTATAGAGATATAGCTAATAGGTAGAGCTATATATTATAATAATACTTATAGCTTAATTATAATTAGTAGAGAAAGCTTAATAATAATTAATTAAATAGATAAACTAGCTATTTAATAGATTAGATACTATTATTATAATACTAGATTAAAATACCTTCTATATACTTATAGCTAAAGATTTAAATATATTTATATAGTAGAATATTAATAAGTATCTATAGCTTATAAACTATATTATATTATACTAGATATAGGATCTATTTATACTATAGTTAATAGTATTACTCTATATTATTATAATACTTACTCTTTAGTATTTTATTAACTACTAGCTATATATACTAGCTAGAATATTATCTATACTTTTTATAGCTATTACTAGTAGTAAGATTAGTTTTAATATAGTTTACTCTAGAGAGTAGTAGGGGTTTATCTTCTTTCTAAAAGATATAATAGATTAATATAAGCTCTAGCTCTATAACTAGATTATAAATCTACTATAAATACTATAGCTTATTATTAAGATATATTAGCTAGAAGAGATATTATTATAATAGTCTAAATACTTTATTAACTAGATAATTAGTTTTATAATTAGTAAGGATATTTATATATATAAATAAGCTAAAGATATACTTAGAATTCTCTTATAGCTCCTGATTTATAATTATAAGGAAATAATATATCTAGTATTCTTTCTAGTAAAAAGTAGAAGGAAAAGAGTACTAGATATAGATATATTTAAGTTTACTCTAGCTAATATATATACTAAGTTAAGAGCTATATAGAGTAGAAACTATAATTCTCTAGAGAACTACTACTTCTTTATTAAGTATATTTTAATCTATTTTATCTAGATATAAATCCTTACTAATAGTAAAATTAGCTATAAATATCTTAAAAGCTAGTATTTCCAGATAGAAGCTAAAAGAGCTATTAAAATATTTAAATAGTTTAACTATAGTTTATTTATTATAGTATAATACTTTCTCTATATATTATACTACTACTTCTACTAGTAGATACTCTATTTTTCTAATCCTAATAAGATTAATAGTATTATATCTATAACTACTAAGAATAATAACTATATAGTTCTTTATATATATATTATTAACTTATATATAGCTATTCCTAATAATATTAAGCTAATAGATATTATTATAATTATAGTATTAAACTAGGATATAAATATCTATCTATAGTAGAGTATATACTTATTTTATATTATCTATTCTATTAAATAGATCTATAGATATTTATATTTATCTCTATCTAGAGATAATCTATAATAGTAGTAAGTATTAAATAGAAGCTAGGGTTATCTATATAAGTATTAGAAATAATAGAATAGTAGATATCTTATTATATATTAGTAACTAGATATAAAACTCAGTCTATATATTAGAGCTATATATCTAGCTTTATATCTAGTATACTATATTAAGGATTTTATAAACTAGTTAAATAGGGATATAATAAGGGAATTATAAATACTTAAATAAAGTTCTCTCTATTAGTTTAAAACTATATATAGTATTCTATACTAAATCTATAAATAATTAAGATTAAATATAATCTTAGCTATATTAAAAACTAAAATTTAAAAAAATTATTTCTAAATTTCTTATATATTTTAAATCTAGATTATATATCTCCTCTTACTTTCTTTCTTTTTCTCTAAAGCTTTCTAGCTCTAAACTAAATTATTAATAGAATAGCTTAAGCTCTAGTATTATATAATATATAGCTATAAACTACTTATAGTAACTAGTTAGAAGCTCTCTATCTTCTTTCTATAGTAAATAATAGCTATTTTAAGTCTTAACTAGCTATAATAGAATATTTTCTTAATTAAAATATATAGATAAAACTTAAATATAGTATTTATATAGATCTATATAATTATACTTAAGTAATCTATATAGCTAGATCTATTTATAAAGTATAATAAGATTCTATATAGAATAATATAACTTTTAGATATAGATTATATAGCTTATAAGAAATAGCTTTAGAAAATAAACTTTCTCTATCTAGATAAGAAAGAAAATAAAATAATCTAGAAGAAAATTAAAAAGAACTAGATTAAATACTTATTAGTAATAAGCTCTATACTAAATATAATATTAGTACTAAACTATAAGATTATATAGTTTAGAAGTAATAATAAGAATAAGAATAGAAATAAAAATAAGAGAGAGTAGAAATATAAGTTTATCTAAGATTACTAGAGATATATAATTATTTAATTAGTTTTTTAGAATAGACTAAATATAATAAAAGCTATAATAGAATAATAGCTATAGATAGTATAGACTATATTAAATAATATAGATAAGAAGAGAGAGGAAGAAGAAAGAGATATATTTAAAAGTCTTATAGTTATTTATAATCTTAGATAATAATAGTAATACTAGGCTATCTAAATAAACCTAGTTAGGTTTATTACTTATATATATAATAAGAATATACTAAAGGAGATAGATATATAGTTAATAGAGAGCTAGATTAATAATATATTAAATATTAAATAAGAGATCTAGTATATAGATCTTAAGATAATAGTATAGAGTTAAGAAAAGGGAGGATTTAAGTATATATAGATATCTATCTAGTAGCTACTTATAAAGATATTAAGAAAGGATAAGTTAATACTATAAAATAACCTGCTTATATAGTAGATTATAGTTCTTATCTAATTAGTAATCTCAGATAATAGTAATATTAACTTTATTAGCTAAGAATATTTCTATAGGAACCTAATACTAATAGATATTTTTAAAAGGTTAAGGCCTCTAGTATAGAGTAGACTAACTATAGGGTAAGCTAGGTCTAAGGTAGATATAACCTATAGAGTAAGCTAAGAAATACTAAAGGGATTATTTTAAAAGATATAGTAGAAGAAATAGTTTACTTAGTAAAAAAGAGAGACTTTATTAGCTATAGGGTAGTTAAAAAGATAAACTATAGAATAGATAAAAGAGTAAATTAATAGCTTAAAGAACCTCTATCTAATAGAGAGAAAGCTTTATACTTATAGGTATTTTAGAGCTCTAAGAGCTCTAAAAATAATATATTATCTTCTATAATATAAACTTATAACTACTATAAGGTTCTTATATAGTAAATATAAGATTTACTAATATAAATACTATAATAGATATAAAATCTATTAATATAGTTACTATAGTAATTATAAGGTTTACTAACTAAATACTAAGGTTTTTATATAGTAAATATAAGATCTACTAATATAAGTACTATAGTAAATATAAGAACTACTAATATAACTACTATAGTATAATATAAGATTACTAATATAATTATTATAGTAGCTATTATAATAGTTATAATTACTAGTATAATTATTTTAATAAATAGTTATAATAGGTTAGGCTAGTAGTTTTAATAGATTTCTAACTTTAGAAAGCTCTAAATTAATTATTTTATTCCTTCTTATTCTATATTAATCTAAGATTATTTAATTAACTAATATAGAGTAACCTAATCTATTCTATAGTCTATAAGGTAAATCTTAATACCTCTTTTAAAAGAAATAACTAAATTAGATCCTTATAGTATTTCTTTAGATCTAGTAGATCTCTAAAGATCTACTAAAGAGATATAGTTAGTAGCTTAGTTAGTCTATTAATAGATATAGCTTTAGTTTTTAGATAGTTAAAGCTTATTAAACCCTCTATAATTTAAATCCTATTATAATAGAATTTTAATAGGGTATATTTAGTTCTAATATATAGAGTAGGGTTATTACTTATAGCTATATAGCTCTAGTTATTATAGTAGATAGTTATAGGAGTCTTTAGAAGCTAGTTTAGCTTCTTATAGAGCTCTTTTAGTTACTATAGCTCTCTAAGAGCCTCTATAAAACTATTTACTTTAGTCTCTATAGTAGATAGAGCTATAGTAATTACTTTCTTAGCTTTCTAACTAATAGAACCTCTAACTAGTTTAAAGAGATACTTATAAATAAATTTACTAGTAGTTTTATCTTCTATAAAATTATTATTATAATAATCTTCTAGAGGCTTATTTAGTAAGTAACTTATAATAAGATTTTTAATACTCTTTAGATACTAAAGTAGTTTTTTAGTAATCTTTAGATAGATTTTATAAAACTTATATATAGCCTAGGCTAACTATTAAACTAAAAAGACTATATTAAGTCTAGTTTAAAGTATTAGATATATTAAAGTTTTTATAATCTACTAAAATAATCTATATTCCAGAGAGTTATAAAGATCTATAGTCTCTATAGCTTCTACTATAAGTCTTATAAGATTAGATTATAAGAATACTAATAGAGGCTTTTCTTTAATAATCTTAAAAGCTTATAATATCTATTTAATATACTAAGGTTAAAAGAGATATAGAGCTTTCTTAGATCTATCTTAGTAAATTTAAATCTCTAAGAAAAAAGTTATTAATCTCTTATCTTCTATAAAGTAAACTCTATAAATTTTCTTTTTTAGCTTATTAATATAGTTAATTTCAAAGCCTATTATAAGATAATTATCTATATAAGTTACTATAAAAGTAGTTTTTTTAGTATTATAGAAAATTATTAGATCTAAGATTAGAGAGCTAAAGTTTAAGGATTTTAATAGAGCTTTTAGAATCTCTTACTATTCTCTAGGGAACTACTTTAGGCTATATAGAGCTTTTAATAGTAGGATAATCTAATCTTTAGAAGGATTATAACTCTAAGACTTAGCTATAATAAATAATTCAGAGCTTTTCTTTAGTAACTCCTTTAAGCCTTTAGAGAGCTTTATATAGAGCTTTTTAATAAGTTTATTATTTAAAAAAATATCTATAAAGTTAATTTACTTAATATTATAGTTATATATAGCTACTAGAGCTAATAATAGTCTCTAGATCAGAAGAATAGTTATAGAAATAAAAATCTTATTATAATTTAGGTTTTCTACTTATAAGAACTCTTTAATAATAAGTCTAGCTTTATATTTTAATAGTTTATTATAAGAGTTAAGCTTTAGCTTTAGTATATATCTATAGCTTAGAACTTTATAGCTCTTAGATAGATCTTTTAATATTATAAAGAAGAAGGTTTTAATATATATTAACTATTTAAGTTTACTAAAGATAGCTTATAGCTAAAGCTCTTTCTCTTTTAGTAATAGCTTTAGTATCTCTTTTTA